GCCCGTTTGCTTGGCCTTGCAGGTTAGAAAGAGCAGAACTTCCACTATTTCTGAATGTTAAGATCCTAGTTTACCTGATCAGCCTTCATAAATTGAAACCACCAATATTTAGAGCATTTTCATATCTATTCTCTTGGTCACCAATTCCCTTAATAAACATTTATTCGATACCTACTGTGTGGCAGGCACTGGAGCTTCACTCATTCATCCAACACATACTTACTGGGGACCTACAATGGGGTTGTACATGAATCTACAGAGGACTATAGATTCACTCATTCATTCAACACATGTTTCTTGAGCACCTACTATGTGCTAGGACACTGTTCCGGGCATTGGGGTAGAACCCCGAGTACAAGAGACAAAAATCTCTGCCTCCTGGAGCTCTTCTCTCTGCTACGTTGCCAGGTTGGCCTGGTTTCCCCCATTTTGCAGCTGAGGAAACTGAGGCCAAGAGAAGTTAGGTTGACTCTTCCAAGGCCACACGGCTAGTGAACGGCAGAAGCAGACTAGGCTCCAAGTGACACACGTTATCTGGACAAGGTGATGTAGGCAATGCTGTGAAACCTATATCATGTCACGGGGCTTAGGGGAAGTTTCTAGAGAACGGTGCTACTGGCTGTGGGGTCAGCTAACCTGGGGTCAGAACCCTGCCTCTGTCACTTCTACCTGTGTATGATGTGGAGGCCACCCCGCCTCCCCATGCCTGGAGGTCATAGTCCCTACCCAGGGTTGCCATGGAGATTATCAATGAACATGGCATCAGCTCCATGAGGGCAGAAGGCCCATCAGCTTGTTCTTCCTTGGATCCATGGCACCCAGCACTGTCCCTGGCACCCAGTAGGTGCTCAACCAGGGGTGGCTATTGTGGCAACCATTGAGTTATGAGATCAGCCAGTACCTTTGTGGCTGGATGCTCAGGGATGCCCGCTGGCTCCTTATAATGGCAGCTGTGCTAGAAGGCTGTTCCTTTTCAGATAGGCTAAGGGGCAGTGAGCAGAAGTTCCCAAGATGTTTCTGGAGTCTGTCCTCAGAGAATCACAGTGCCCCTGCCTAGCATTTGTCCACAGCTGTCTCCCAGTGACTCGGAGAGCCTCCTATCCATCATCTGTCTCTCCATGGCCAAGGCTCTGGGAGGCAGGCACAGTGACATCTTGATTATCCGCCATCCATCCGTCACCCGATGCTGATGGGGGGGAGTTCCGTCTGAGCCAAGCTGTCCAGTGAGGACAGCTGAAAAAAATGAGTCTCCCCAGGTCCTTGGATGAAGACAGCAAGCTGGGTTTGAAATGTGCAAAGCCAGGACAGAAATGGAGAGGGTCATCCTGCCTAAGAGAGCAGACCTGGGACCCTCGTCCTGAAGCCTGCAACAGGGCCTCTGAATTCAGATTCACTCTGAATTCTGCGGCCTCCACACAGAAAGGATGCAATGAACTCCTCCCTTGGAGTGGCAACGCAGACGGGAAGTAGATTTCATGGAGATGTGGGTGGATTTCTGAATGGTAAACCCGGAAGGTGCGCTCAGCCACAACTCCTTTCTTTCCTCCTCACTCTACCCCCACTCCCACTCCTCTCCACCCCCCCACACCCTGGAAGTCTACACTGCTTGGCTTGTTCCTGTTTCCAGCCCACCAGCTGATGCTCCAAAAGCACCAGACCCCTCCAGAAAGGGGGGACCCCACCCACCCCACCCCCAAGAGATCAGACCCTCGGGCTCCTCGGCAGAGCTCAGTGATCACCATCTGGTGTTAGCCAGGCTGGGTCCTGAGTGGCTGTGCTGGGACCTTTGGGGGTGCACACCTTGAGGAAGGCGCTGCTCCTGGGGGGCCCCGAGGAAGGCGGTCAGATCTCCCCCTGGTCTGGCAGAGCTGGGGATCCTCACAGCTTGGGCCGAGACTGCTTGTGCCCTCTGTGCCTGGACACCAGCACTCATAGGCTGGGACTCCAGATGCCCACTCCTGGGCTGCCGATGGCTTTGCGTGTCCACCAGTCAGTCCTAACTTTGGGTCGAAGATGAGGAGGGTGGATCCTCAGCTGCCAGCCTGCACCCCATCTCACCCTCCCCACTGTCCTCCTGGCCTCTGCCCCTCACTCTCCCTCCTGCCCCTACTCCATCACCGCAGGTCTCTTTCCTCTTGCTCTCCATCTCTCCCACCTGTTCTCATTTCAACTTCTCTCTTGTTAGCCTGCTTCCTCCTCTGCCCACTTCCCTTTGCCCCTCTTCCACTTTTCTCATCCTGCCTGCTTCCTCTTCCTCGTAGACTCGGTTTCCAGGGTAGACTTGATTCAATTCAGTAGTTACTGAGCATCTCCTGTGTGCTGGGCACGGTGCCAACTCAGAGGGTACAGGTGAGAGTTGGCGAGATCTTGACGGCACGGGCTGGAGACCTGCTTCCCTCACCTCGTCTCCTTCTGCCTTTTTCCCTCCTTCCTCTTTCTTCTCCTCTCCCTCCCTCCTTCTCTTCCTCCTCCTCCTGTCACTTCTCTTCCTTCCCTTTCCCTGTGCCCTGTCTTGGCATCCACAGCCAGCCCTGGAGGTGGGAGTTGGGGTGAGCGGGATGGCAGAGTCCCAGGAGATTCAGTGACAGGAGCCCTTGATGCCGCCATCCCCACGTGGCAGGCAATGGATAAGACTGAGCACTCGAGACCCATTCATCACGCTCGCCTCCTTTCAGGGCCAAGACAAGACGGAAATGACTTCTGTCAGCTCTGTGGCAGCCCACTGCCCCTGGCAGCTCCAAGCTGTTTATTAAAAAAGAGAGAGAGAGAGAGAGAGAGAGAGAGAGAAATACAGGAGTGTGAATGCCATCTTGCCGTGTATTAGGGGAGCGGTTCCAAAGTGATGAAGTTGACAAATACCCCTTCAGGTAATCGTACAGGAGTGTGCCGACTCCTTTCCCAGCCCATGTCCAGCCGTGATGGAGATGGAAGGTGACAGCCAAGAAATGCGAGAGGAGGCAGCTGCTCCAGGCACATCGCATGGCTTTTGTTTTAGCCATAGAGGCCAGCTGGTCTCAGGAATGATGAGATGCAAGGTCACCTACCCATTCATTCGTCCGTTCATCCCTCTTGCAATTTCACCTGAGGCTTTTATTTAATCCAGTGGCGGGTTAGGCTCTGGAAATTCAGAGATTATTAGTAGTAATAATAATGACCATTAATTGGTAACTATTAATGACTAATAGCCATTAATTATTCATCATGACCATCCCCCGTTATTTGAGGAGCTGGGCGTCGGGCACTTTGCCCAGTCCCGTGACTTCCCCGTGAGGTCAGTGCGATGACTGGGTGTGGGAGGAGGTGGAGGGGGGGCCTCAGAAAAGGGAACCACAAATGCAAAACCCAGAGGCAGGAAGGGCCTGTCCTGTCCCAGGAGCCCCGTGAGGCCAGGGCAGAGAGAGCAGGAGGCTGTGAGGGAGTAGGGAGCCTGACTTGGCAAGAGGAGGACTGAGGATGGTGAGGGGAGTGGCGGATGGAGGGAGCTTATCGACACCACTACCTCGACCCCGGGGTCTCCCCGCCACCCCAACACCATGACGTTGACCCTCTCCTGACCTAGGGAATAAGGAGGGACAGAGGAGCACACCATTCGTGGAGCCCTTTAACAGAGCATCGTTGCCATGGCAACCTCCCCCAGATCCCCGGTCAGGGGAGGCTCCTGCCAGTCCCAGAAAATAGAGGCTCATGGGATGGTCGGAGGTCTGGCCTCTGGGGCTCAGGCAGACGGTGTCCAGGTCCCTACCCATGTCCCTGAAAATGACCCTGATGCTCCACCCTCTCTGTCCCCTCCTCTCGCCTCTGCGCATCTCCTCCACGGGCCATAGGTGACTTTCTTCCCAGATTCAAAAGCCCTTTGGGTCCTTATGGGCAGCTCTCTTCCTTCTAAACCGTCCTGTGTGATCTGGGGCTGGGAATGGTGAGCTCAGAGGGTGGTGAGCAAGAAACCCTCCCCAAAGTCTTGTCCCAGGATCCCAACCACACTTCCTGGATAGAGCGCTGAATCCCACAGTTGTCCCTGTTGGTACAGTTCGCGCACCAGGCAGGGGGTGGACCACATGAGCGGAAACCCGCGTGTACATCACTCGCCGCCGGGTCCAGGCCTGAGCCCCCGGCTTTGCCTGCCGCGCCCAAACCCCGCATTCGGCACCGCTTCTGCTCGTTTATAAATTATAACTGCGCTGGTGGGCGGAAAGGAGCTCGTTCGTCTTCAACGGAGGACAAATAGATTTTATTTATCAAAGGAAAGGTTGATGGACTCCAGGCTCTCTCCTTTGAGCGACCCTTTTATTTCACAGTCTATAATTTCGCCCCACTGCGACGCTCCTGCATTTCCGAGGGAAAGTGTGTTTGGCTCGGCTGCTGAAAAGTCCTTGTGAGTCAGGGCCAAACCTGGTGTAGTCCCAGAATAGAAGGCGTCTGTCCTCTTGTGTATAGGCTTGGTTGCGAGTTGATTTCATGTAAATCTTTCCCTTTGAGGGACCATTTTTCACCCCCCTGCCGCAGCCTATGAAACGATCAGGAGTGAGCCCCAGCATCTCATGGAGGCCCACATTTCGGTGATTGACTCTCAGAAGGCCCGCTTGGTGAGGCTGCCCCCTGAGCTTGGTCCTAAATAAATAAATAACCTCCCACGGGTCCCCCTCGAGTCTTCAAGAAGCAAATTACCTATTTCACAGTAGGTTCTGGGATGATAGGTCCTATCATGTCAGATATGATGCCTCATAATCTAAGTCAGCCATCCTCTCTGCCATTTTAATCTACCCAAACGTGCTTAGCTGGGTTTAATTATAGACAGAAATTGCATTTCAGAAAGCAACAAGAAATCATTTACATGGCTTGAATTCGTGCATTAAATCATACGGTTCATTTGAGAGTGTGGTAGGGACGGCAGTTCCAAAGAAAAATAGTATTAATGCCAGTGCTTAGTGGCTCTCACACCAATTGCACAAATTGTATGAATTGCACGATTTCCACTGATTACGTTTTTCTTCTTGGCGCAGGATGAATGAGGAGGTCGGGGATGCTGAGAAGACCCAAGGGGCGTCGGCACTGAGCGGAGCCCGGGACATGCCAAGCAAGAGCTCTGGGGACAAGTCCGTTTCTCCCCTCTCCCTCCGCCGGCCAAAGTACTGCCATTTTGGGGAGGGCGAAGAGTGTGGCGCCCAGAGAAAGCCCACGGAGAGATTAGGAGCTCCGTCTTCTTCCCCGGCCTCTCGGAGTACAAACTCGTCCCCGTCATCCAGGGAAAAGCTGCCGAGTCCTTCGGCGGCCCTGTCGGAGTTTGTGGAAGGGCTCCGGAGGAAGAGAGCGCAGAGAGGCCAGGGCTCGGCGCTGAGCTTGGAGGACTGGCCCACTCTGCCCATTTACCAGACCACCGGGGCGTCCACACTGAGGAGGGCCAGGGCGGGCAGTGACAAAGGAGACCTCTCACCGAGGCTCAGGGCAAAGTCACCCCTGGAGACGCAGGCCACCGCTGGGACATCAGCTGGTCTCCTGCGGTCCACCAGCCTGAAATGCATCTCTTCTGAGAGCGCTGAGGGCACCGCCTTGCTACCCGAGAAGCTGAAGACCAGGTTCAGTTCCTGCGAGTCCATCTTAGAGTCAGGGCCAGGCTCGGGGAGAAAAGCGAGATCCCCAACCATGCCCAGGGACACGTTCTTGTCGCCCACGCTGCGCCCCCGGAGGCGCTGTCTGGAGGCCTCCCTGGACGACGCGGGCTGTCCAGACCTTGGGAAGGAGCCGCTCGTCTTCCAGAACCGCCAGTTTGCCCACCTAATGGGGGAGCCTCTGGGCAGTGACCCGTTCAGCTGGAAGCTCCCAAGCCTTAACTATGAACGCAAGACCAAAGTGGATTTCGATGACTTTCTCCCGGCCATCCGGAAGCCCGAGACTCCTACGTCCTTGGCCAGAGCAGCCAAAGATGGGCAAGACAGGCCGCAGCATTCAAGCGTCCACTTTGAGACGGAAGAGGCCGACCGGACCTTTCTCACAGGGATCAAGACCATTTTGAAGAAGAGCCCGGAGTCCAAGGAGGACCCCGCTCTCCTCTCTGACTCGTCCTCCTCCTCCAGCTCCATCGTGTCCTTCAAAAGTGCCGACAGCATCAAGAGCCGGCCGAGAATCCCGCGGCTGGAGGGTGATGGTGGGGAGCGCACGTCACCCGAGAACAGAGAGCCGGGGGCAGGGAGGAAAGACGAGGATGTTGAGAGCATAATGAAGAAATACCTGCAGAAGTAGCAGCCGCTCAGGTAAAGCAACAGCCTGGGACCGTTCTTGCGGAATGAAAGCAAGATCGTTCGCCAGGCCCGGCAGCCTGGAGGGAACCGGTTGCTGCTGCCTTTAATGCTGTGATGATTTCTCTAGAGACAAGGGCTTCTAGAGGTTTTTGCTGAAATATTGTGTTGCTGGATGCAAAGCTTATCAGATGCCCTCCACTGGGCGCCACCTACTTCTTTACACTTCAAAATGCAGACCCCTCGGAAAGCAAGAGGGTCCTGTGGGATGATGCTGAAGAAGATGCTGGACTTCACAAGTTTCCTGACCCCTGTCTGGTATTCTTGGCAGAATGCAGGAGCTGGCATGGCATCCTGTCCACGCAGTGTCGGGAGATCCGTGTGGTAGGGTCAGGAGGGTAAAAAGAGGCCTTGAGGATGGTGGAGTCCGGCTCTTGCATTAAATAGAGAGAGAGAGAAACTGAGGCCCAAGGTGGGGGAGGGGACAGGTGCAAAGGTCACAGAGCAGCCATGGGGAGAAGCGGTGTTTCTCTCTGCCTGCCCTCCTCCCCCCCATCCCAGTCCTGGCCCTTCTCTGGAAGACAGGTAGGAAGAGGAATGCTTTGCTAATAATGACGGATGCTTATTGAGTGTCTGTATCAGGTGGTCATTTCGCACCCACCATAACCCGGAGAGGTGAGTGGTATGACTTATTCCCATTTTACAGATTGGCAAACTGAGACTCAGAGAGGCTAAGTCACTCACATCAGATCACCCAGGCAGAACTGGGATTTGAAACTGAAGAATCCCCAGTGGTATCTGTCACACTTTTCCTGAGGGACGTTTTCCAGGCTTCTTCAGGAGTAAACTCAGAGGCACATTGAGGGTCTTTAAAGAGGTTGCCTCCACGGACCTCCCAAACGGAGCTAGACCTGAGAACCCGGAATCTAAAGGGGAGTTGGAACTCATGGACTCTGACCTCACTGTGGCAAAAATGAGGGAGACCTCAAGTTTGGGGTCACCCCGTGAGTCTGCCGCCAGCCCAGCCACCCTGACTCCCAGTTCTTTGCTCTCTGCCATGAGGCAGGGCTGGCCCCTGACAACCCCTCATAGGGCGTGTTTCCAGCCTTAGAGCCTGAGCCTTCCACTCCATGGCTCCCGTCTGAAAGGCAAAGCCCCCTAGGGGTGGCTGGACATCAGGTGCAGACACAAGGCAAGCCCACAGCCCAATGAGAGCCCACGACCTTCAGAAATCCCCCCAAGACTCAATCTCAGCTCTCACAGCAGCTCCAGGCTCAGGTGGCGGAGCTGTCCCACGCAGGTGCTCCATCCACACCTCGTGTCAGCCCCCAGCCCTCCTTCCAAGAGCCTCCTGGACCCAAACCAGCCGCACATCCTCCACTTCTAGAGACCTGCTCCTTTGAGAGGCACCCCAGCCCATCAAAAAGCCATTGTCCCTTCGCTGGAGATGGGCTCGGACTGTATCGCAGCTAATTAATTTGACTTAACATGGCCTTCTCTCTGCTCTCAATTACCGAGGAGAGATCTGACGTTCATTTACATTATTATGCTCTCGGGGACACAGAAAGCAGTTTCAAAGGCCAAGCAAAGGGCATACGTCCATAAGGGGAATGGTCCTTAGCAGCAGTCATCACAGAACATCTTGTCTCTGCCACTTTTTTTAAACACAAGCCTCCCCTCCTCCTCCCAGCTAGGCTCACCATGATAACAAAGCACCTGCCTTAAAATTCTGTCCACCCTGGACGTCCATGCTGGAGTCTTGAAGGAGACATTACCGTCCCGTTCCCCGTGATGCAAATGCATCCCGGGATTTGGAACCACACAATCCCCAAAGCCCAGTTCTTGCCTGTAACTGGCCGTGAGATCTTGGGCAAGCGATGCAACCTTGCTGAGCAGCTGTGTTCTCGGCTGGAGAATGGGGGTGATAGTCCCAGCCACCCAAAGTAACACTGGGGGTTTGATGCGAATTCGAGAGATCCCTGGCGCAGAGCCTGGCACCCCGTGGTGGCAATAAACCTCAGGTTGACCTGCACCTGGACATTTTGGCCCTTCAGGAACCCTCTCCCCAATTTCCCTCCACTTGTGTCCCTTCTGCCACCCACATGCCTTCATTCCTTTCCTTGGTGTCACTGCAGCAATGCCACCTGGGAGTATGGGCGTCCAGGGCTCCCACCCTCTTTTGCCCTCCCCATCAAAGTGTGCGCTTCCTGGGTCCCGTTCATCGGATCTGATCTGTGTTTGTTTCCAGCCTCCTGAGATGCACTGCCCTCGAAGATTCCTGACTCCCCAGCTGTCTGGAGAGAGAGAGCGGCCAGGCCTCCCCAGGGGCCCGCAGTCCAGAGCCAGCCAGTGTGGCCACTCTCGAAAGGCAAGAGGGGCCCAGCCAAGGCATATCCCGCAAGACGTGGGGGCTCCCAGTGTGCCTGGTCTGTACAAAATAAAGTGTTGGCTTCTTGGCATCCATGCCTTCTCTCTGTTCTGTGTTCATGTTCCCTGGGACTCTGGAGGGTTGATGGGGTACAGCTTGGGGTAGAAGGGTTCCGAGGAATGGAACTCACCCAAAACGTTTGTAGTTTTGGGTGCACACTGCTATTTTTCTTCCTACATGTCTACATGCAATGGCCTTGCTCCTCTTCGCTTGGCCAAATTCAGCTCAAGTGTGGCCTCCTCCAGGAAGTCTTCCCTGATACACTGAACTGAAATAAATGCCGCTTCTCCATTCTCCCTTAACTCCCATACTTACCTTTATCCTATTTCCCTTACTGATTTACTTATCTACACAGTGTGTGTAGGTGTGCAAGCATTCAAAAATTCTGATGAATGGGTGAACGAGCCATGAACAAGTTAATGAGCCCACACACCCTGAAGGCATGTGACACACTGACTTACGCATCCCTACACATGTCCATGCATACCAGCATAAGAAGCGGTGACATCGGCTCTCGCAGTCCCCCGCACACCTCTTCATGTACTCATCCCTGCCATGCAAACACAAACACTCACGTGTGCCGTGAACTGCACTCCCACGGGCACGCCTGTAACTTGGAGCCCTGCTTCTCCAAACATCCTTAAGCATTAGCGATACAAAAAGCATTGGCTAACGTTTATTGATCACATACTCTGCGCTGGCTGCTGGCTCAGCATTCTACATGGTGCATGTCACTGCAGCTTTGCAAAAATCCTGAACAACAACCTGATTCTTCCCTTGGTGCAAAGGCAGAACCAGCTTATGCCCACAGTAGGGAGCCAGCGCTGCCTCTGTTTAAATTCCCACCAGCATAGACCCCACGTCCTCCATAGACACATGTCCAACAGGAGCCTCTATGCCCAGGCCCCCTCTGGTGTAGACGATCCCAGCTCCCACCAAAGGGAGGAAAGTCCTGTTTGCATCACTGGTGAGTTCGTCACCAGGGCTGCTGTAACAAAGTGCTGCAAACGGGGGTGCTTAACACAACAGAAATGTACCGTCTCATAGTTCTGGAGGCTGGAGTCCAAAATCAAGGTGTGGGCAGGGTTGGTTCCTCCCGAGGGCTGTCAGGGTCTCTCCTTGGTGTGGAGATGGCCGTCTTCTCCCTGTGTCTTTTCACGTCAGCTTCCTCTTGTATGTGTCTGTCTCTGGGTGCAAATTTCTCCCTTTCACGAGGACCCCAGTGGTATCAGATCAGAGCCCACCCTAGTGACGTCATCTTAACTGGATTACACGTGTAATGACCCTGTCTCCAAATAGGGCCACAGCTGGGGTACTGGGGGTTGGGATATCTTTTTTGGGAAGTCAAAGGACACAAAGCCATAACAATTCACCAGTTGAAGCTCCCTCCAAGAAGGGGAGCTCTCAGTTCTCACCCTCCCCTGGAGGCTGTGGGTGCATGTGGGAAGACCTGGACAGACGGGGTAGGGGGAGACTCGCTGGATCCCCTCCCTGGAAGACCTCACCATCTTCCTGATAGAGTGGGTCAGTGCAACAGCAGACTCTGTTTGCTCAGATGCAGGAACGCTCTCCCACTTGGCGAGCCTTTGGGCAAATGCTATCAGAGGAGCAGCCACCAGGCTGCCGTTCCCAGGAGGGGCCCCACTCCCTGGAGAGACCTGGGACACGTGGAGGTAGCATCCAGGACCCCTGCTTGGAATCAGAGGCCCTGGCAAGGAAGAGGGTGCTACCCAAAAGCTCCCCGACATTTGGGCATGAGGGATGGATGGGAGAAGACATGGACCTACGCACCAGGCTCTCCCAATGTTTCCTACAGCGGGTCCCATGGAGTCTTGGAACCTCAGACAAGTCACTTCCCTTGCTGGGCCTCAGTTCCCTCATCTCAACAATGGGGTAATAGTTATTAGAATCTACTCGATCTGGGAATGGGGGAGTAGCATGATGCATTAGTAGGATGGGAGAGTAGTATGCTAGAGCGGCCATAACGTGATACCACGGCCTGGGGCGTTTAAACAACAGAATGTTACTTTCTCACCATTCTGGAGGCTGGAAGCCCAAGAGGAAGGTGTCAGCAGGTCTGGCTCCTTCTGAAGCCTGTCTCCCTGGCTTGCAAACAGGCACCTTCTCTCCGTGTCCTCCCATAGTCTTTCCTCTGTTCGTGCACCCCCAGCGTCTCCATGCTTCCAAATTTCCTCTTCCCGTAAGGACACTAGTCAGATTGGGTTACAGCCACCCCAACAACCTCATTTTAATTAATCACCTCCTTAAAGGCCCTGTGTCCAAATACAGACACATTCTGAGGTACTGGGGGGTTAGAGCTTCAAATTTGGGGGGGTCACAATACAGCCTATGTCACACGCTATGCAATAGTAGGTGGTGATTTAATTTATTAACAATGATCATTGTCATTCATGTCGTGATCAGATAAATATGTTCCGAGCTCCTGGCCCTCAAACAAAAACAACTATGGAAGTCAGGAAATGATTCATGCTGCCTTCCTGGCACTGAGGTTTCCTGGACCTTTTTTAGGGCCCAGAACTCATGAGTTCCCATGAGCTTCTCCTCGTGTGCCAGCGGGATTAGTCATTCCGCCAGTATTTGCCGAGAACCTGCTATGTGCTGGGCACTGTTCGCCACTCTGGAGATCCATGGGGAGCAGGCAGAGACCCCTGCTTGTCTGGAGGGAGCATCCTACCTAGAGAGGCAGAAAATAAGCAAGAAAATAAATCCACTGTCAGAGAGCGAGAGGTGTTATAAAGAAAAATAAAGACGGAATTATCTTGTGAGCTCCCCGTTAAAGACTTCCTGGACATTTATTTTACGAAGTACCTTTTTGTCAAAGGAAGAAACCTGTCATTATTCCTCAGGGATGTGCAAGGGATGCATTCACAAAGGTTAAACCTGCGTAATCACAGCAAAGCTTTCCTCATTGTGCAGCAGGAAACAGAAATCCTGAAGAGGCTCTTTAAGAGTCAATTTAACATCCTAGAAAATGACAACTGTCTCCTGCCTCGCAGACCTCCCAACCCCACACAGCCTGATGCAGAAGCTACTCTCCCAGCTTAGTCCTCCTCCCTGTAAGCTGACTCCAGAAATCCCGGCGTGGACTCTGCTGTCGCATCAGTAGCGTGTGAGCCCAGGACCGGGCTCAGGAAGCCCCACACAAGCCTTCACTTCTACCAGGGATGATGAAGTGCCTCATGCCCTAGGCAGTGCCATTCCCTCCCTTCACGACCTCAGTCCGTTCACCTTTTTCTAGCCCTCCTTTTCTCATCTGTATCATGGGTCTAGGACGAGTACCAGCTCCCCAGCGTCCTGTGAAAAATCAAACGCTGGTGAAGCACTTAGCACATGCCTGGCACATAGTCAGCCTGCAATAAACAGTGGCAATAAACAATGACCTTTGGACTCAGAAGTGCTGTTTCCTGATGTCCAGTCTAAGGCTCCATCCGTGTCGCCGAACTTTGCTGTGGCTTCTCTGCTAAGGTCACTAAAGTTAATTCCAAGGTGAGGGTGTTGGAAGTCACGGATCCAGGTGGGTCAAGAGGCCAGCGGAAATGTTTCGGGCCCCGAGGCCATTTGTAACAGCATGCTCAGATCTTAAAGGAACCCCAGCCTTTCAGGACTAGAAGAAAGCTCGAGATGACTTTACAGATGAGGAAATCGAGGCTCAGAGAGAGAAAAGATCTGTCCACAGACTCTCAAAGGCAGATCTGAGTTTAGAACTCAATTAACATTTTTGCATTCCATAAATATTTATTGACCTTTCCACCCGCTCCCCCCTATATTCTGGGCACGGTTGCAGGCACCATAGATAAAGCCAAGACTGGGATGCATGGAGCTCTGCCTTCGGGAAGCTTACAGTTTACTGGAGGAGACAGGTAAAAAACTTGGAGATGCGTGCATCAGCCATGCCCCGTCACCTGACGCCCCATCAGGATTTTACCTGCTACGGACCATCCTCCTGTGTCTGCCTTGTCCCAGCCTTTCCCAGCGCCTGCCCCAGGCCAAAAGAGACCCAGCCCTGTCCCAAGGCACCTGGCTGTCTGCACAGTTCAGGGCCGAGGAATGGAGGTCCTGCACTGTTTCCAGTCCCAAAGAGTACGAGTGGGAAGAACAGGAGAGGGGAGATGCTGCAGCCGGGAGAGGCAGATGCCATGGCGTGTGGGGTGTGGAAGGCTCTAGATGTGATTAATGGCCTGCCTGAGCTCCTGTGGTTGTCCTCAAGAGATGAGCACCCCGGGCTTGTTCCCACCCCCCAGACCCGGTTGCTTGTGTACCTGTCAGTGTGGGCAGCAAGCTTCAGGGCAAGATGATGGACGCTCAGCAGCAGCCTTGGTGACAAGGTGAGGCAGTGACCTTGTCACCCTTTGTTAAGAACCATCACAGCTCCCATTCCTTGTACGTCTTTAAGGATCTGGGTGCTGTGTTTGGCGCTATTTAAACATCACTTCTAGGAGATGGGTGTTGGGGGTCCGCTGCCCCATTCATCACTCTGTGTCTTCTACGCATGTAAGAAAAAATTTAAAATGACTCAACACTCTTTCGTGTCTTGTTGCATGAAGGCCCGGTCCCTGTGGGTACAATTGTGCTCATAGCACAGGCCTTCCACATGCGGAGCTCACTGGAGTGGCTTATTTAACTCTTCTCCGTCTCCCATCTCCCACAATCTAAAGTTCATGGTCTTCCTGCTCAGCCTGGCTGCAAAGGGTAGGGGAGATGTGGCGGCATTTGCCAAAAGCCCTTGGCCCCGCCGGGCCCCCAGGTTATGCTTCGGTGAGGGGGGCGCATCAGCTGCAGGAAGTGAAGGATGCTGGGGATGCAATCCTTTAGGGCCTCGCTCCCTGGTAAACTGAGTCCAGGCTGGGTGCGACCAGTTCAATGAATAACAGGTCTTTGTTGCTCAGCGCCTGGGGAGAGCGAAGTGAGTGAGGGGTCGGGAAGAAGATGAAACGAGGGGAGAGGTTGGGGATCCTCCCTCTGACTCAGGCATTGAGGTTCAGGGAGGACAAGAAGATGAGCCGGTGGAAC